TAATATGGTAATCTATCTCTTCAATACTGAAAATAAGACATTCATAAAGATGGACAAACGTTATCAGTAATTATTACAAAAATCATTTAAAATTTTGGTGGAGTAAATGCTGTAATTGAGCTGTAGTTGTAGTTTTCTTGAGCTAGATTGATGAATTTTAATATGTTGACTATGTTTATTCATTTTATTCATATGAATACAACAAGGAATGGTAATTTGTCTTTTATTCAACAAATTAAACTGTAACTTCTAATATAATATATAGGCAACCAAAGATACAGCAAATATAACATTTTAATATTGTAACTAGAAAGAAAGTTAAAAGTGTAATTTCGCACAAAAATAACTCTTTTACGCGAAATTCAATACCTTCCACGAACAAACCACAAAATATTACGTAGAATTAATTAATTAATTAATAATATTTTTAAAGTCATCTTGTTAAATTTGGTTGAAAATCCTTACACATTTTTATAACACTAATTTACTAAAGATACAAGACTTTTTTATCATTTTTGACATATATGACGTAATTATTTTGTATTTTTCACTGTTCTTTGTCCCTTTCCCAAAAGAATTAAATAAATTAAATAAGGAGTCAACAAAGAATATCACAGACTGGTATGATTTTTGAAGAAACATAAATTTCTTTATCTAATATATGACCTAATAAGTTCTTTTATTAATTTGGTATTTAATTTAACATACAAAAAAGTATAATGCATGTCTACAGACCTACAAATAAATACCTAATGGCTTGATTTCTTTTTGATAAGCAACTTCGGCTTAATCTGTAATTCGAAAGTACTAGGGGATGTTCTAGTTTTAGGGAAATACCAAGATTAGCTCAGATGAGAAATAGTGGAGGTAGTGTGTCCAAACAGTTTTATAAATGACTTTATGATGATGACTATGGGATGTTGATGAGATCTAATAAGCAATATCAACATCTAGCAATTTTGATAAATTGTTTTACATGATATGTTGTACCTAGACGTATTATATGCTTTAAATGAAACCAATGGAATTAGTTTCTACTAATGTAAATCTTCGTATAGCTGTTAAACTTCTTGGAAACAACAAATAAGCAAGTGAATAGTTCGAGAAACAAGATTAGGCAACAAATATTCCATTAAATGGGATCAATAAGTATAGAGGGGCAGTTTAAACGGTTTTGTCCCTAGGCTCTTTAGAAATGTGAAGTTATACCTACTCCACTTCGATAATAATTCTCAAACTTTCCTTACACACGGAGTAAAACATTATCGAAAACTTTTTGCATTTAACCGCTGTAAATGTAATGCGGAAAATAACATGAATTCTTTGATTCGATTCTTTTATTCGGAAAACCAGCAAACTTTCTTATTTTCTCTGCATTAATCGATAAATAATTGTACATATATCTGTGCTAGTTCAAAATCTTTAAAAATTTGATGAAATTGCAAAGACCGCTCTTTATTTTTGTCGAAATAATTTCAAATTTGATTTGAATCAAATAAACAAGTGAATTGTTTAGTCTTAGACCCGAAATAACTTCAAATATAGAGAACTTGTTAAAATTTTTACAGAAGGGTGCTTATAGACAGGGTATTCCAGATAGGCATCTATTTTTTCTAATTTTAAAATAATCGTTCTTGCAATATCATATCTTTTTTTTAACGTTTATACTTAATTAAAAAAGTAAATTATCAACTGACTAAACATTGTTCATACTGTACTTGGTCGGTGCAATTTTCAAATTAAATTACTTTGTTACTTATTTTTATATGGAGGTAAAACTAGTCTCATGTACTGAAGTATTACCTACCCATAAATTAGTAGTGATTGGTAGTAAGTAAGTTAAATTAGTTAGTCAGTAAACTAAGTCGCCTATTTCAAAAGAGATACAAGTTGCCAGAAATTAAAGTTTGNCGGCACCTGAACTAAATCCATATGATTTTCAGTTAGTCCTAACCTTCAAAAGACGATTCTATAAATTTGACGGCTGTCGGATCATTGATTAGTGAGTAAATTATCAACTGACTAAACATTGTTCATACTGTACTTGGTCGGTGCAATTTTCAAATTAAATTACTCTGTTACTTATTTTTATATGGAGGTAAAACTAGTCTCATGTACTGAAGTATTACCTACCCATAAATTAGTAGTGATTGGTAGTAAGTAAGTTAAATTAGTTAGTCAGTAAACTAAGTCGCCTATTTCAAAAGAGATACAAGTTGCCAGAAATTAAAGTTTGTCAAAGTAATTACTGTCTGCTAATACCCACTGATCAACTCCAGGGAAAATCTAGACTTTCTGAACTAACACTTTAATTGGAATCCTGTCGCACATAACGCTTTATATGTATAAATGCAAATGTATACCGCCTTCCATCAAGTGAAGAAAGATTAAGTACATGCATACATGCACAGCCTTTTGACACCATGCCTACTCTAGAACTGAAAACTATTCATAAATATCTGCAACACTAGTTTATAAATTAAGTAAATACATTAAAATTTTAATCATCAAGGAATTGCATGGTGATTAAAGAAAAAAAAGGTAATTAAAAAAACTAGACGAAATTATAATATGAAGCCGGCCCTGGGCATGAAATGGCAACGTATATAGAAATTGCGATAACAACTAAGGACCTACATGAATTAAAAATGTAAACAGTAACAGATGTGCTAAATAGCAGCTGATTGAATGCATCCTGTAGCGTCGTCGGACTGTGTGATCCTACCAGGGTCGGACTGGCCTTTATTTCCAAATACGAGTTTCTCGAAAAACGGTAGATTTACCTAATTCTCTTGTTTTTTATAGTGCCCTATCACCTCATGCAAGCTTGCTACTTATTTCAGTAACACTCTGTATATTTCAAATACTTTTAATCAATTACAAATAAATACTGGTATTATGAACACTTAATCAGTAGCTATATTCTCAACAAAGACACGTCTTTTGTTGGCTTGCGAACAAACTTTCTTCATCATAGACACGACAGCTTTGATGTGAAGTTAGCGTTTGTTTTTCGAAGATTTACTTACTTGAAAGACGTTTACGCGCAAGTTTAGCCTTAGACCCAACTTAAGTCTGAATTATTCATGGGTTCGCATCCTCGAAGACGCTGGAATTTGCGATTCTAAACAACTTCTCATTTCCAAAAAATTATAAACATACTCCTTACGAATACATCTGAACATTTGAATTATTGGTTTAACTCACCTGTAAAGTTACTGAAGCACATTTAAAAGAACCGTTTTCTTTACTAAAGCCTTTTTGAATTAAAATTATTTGATTACAGTACCTAAGGGAGTTGAGAATATTGCTATACAGGTCCTAACACTGATATACATTAAAATTTTTATTGATAAATAATTACGAGTAGATAGAGAATGTTAACAATTATTTTGTGGTGAAAATACGTAGCCTGAAAAAGCTTCAAAAAATATCAGTTTACCTAATATTATGGAAAGTGAAATTGACAATGGAATTGAAAATTTAAATTAATGCTAGAAGGTACATCTTAATCAATAAAAAACGGTTTACGTATGCAATTTGCAATATCTAAAGCAAGTACCTCCCTGCAAAATCAATGAAAAGGAGTAATAACAATTTCCAAGCAGCTAGATACTAGATAGAACACATTGTCTAATAGCGCTGCACCGAAATAATTTACGATACCGAGAGCATTAACAAGTGTAGCAGTTAGCGCAGTATGTGAATTGTAATAAATCGTGTTTTATCGGGTGAACTATGTTACCTGTACAACGTATTAGATAATCTAGAGAACGGTTTGTCATCAGTAAATGACTACAGTCGCGGTCTCCTACGTTGAAGCGCTGAAAAAACTGATAGGGAAGCATTAAACGCTATGATAAAATGACTAATTTTGCTTGAAATTTTTACCAGAATAGTGTTCAAATGAAATACGAATTATTATACAAATACAACATACGTTACTTATGTGCACTTTCACTAAATTTTTAGACTTTTTGGAGTCTCACAAGTTGAGGAGATTCTTATTTTTCGACTAAATCATATTAATACCTATTCGTATTATACAATTAGCAAAAAAACATCCTCAAGAAGCTGTAGCACTTACAAAACTTCGTCTAATCTCTTATTAACTGGAAACAAGAAATCCTTGATAATCTATACAAAGTAATAAGTTTTCTTCTTGGTTTACGTTTTCGCCATCTCAGAATAAGACATAAAACGGAATCGTTGTCAGACCATGTATTCAACAGCAGGCTGAAAGCCGAATTTTTCCACATGTATGTCTCTATGTTTTGCAAAACTTTTGATTAATGGAAAAATTGTAATCGTTCTTCTAATGATTAAATTTTCTTAAAAATACAAAATTTTATTCGTATATACCAAAAATTTAAATTTGACATTCTTTAAGGGTTGTTAATCTTATAAAACATTGATTCAAATATCGAAACTAAGACATTCATGAAGATACACAAACATCATTAGCAATTATTAAACAAGTTTGGTGGAGGCGCCGGGACAATTTAAAGTAAATACTACAAATGAGCAATAATTTCAATTTCATTGACGCAGATTGATCAATTGTCATCTTTAAACTACATTTTGTCATTGTCGACGCAGTTAGGGATACTAATTTACATTAATTTTTACAATTCAACTATAATTTGCAATATAACATATAGACAACCCAACATACAGTAAAAATTACAACTGTAATAATGTAACTACAAAGAAAGTTAGAAAGCGTTTTTTCTTACGAAAATAACTTTTTTACTTGAAATTTAATAGGCTACAGCAAAATAAATAAAAAAATTGCAATCGCTAGTATTTTGCTGATCATATTTTCTTAAAAATGGTGTCTTAACTCGATGCAATGTGTTCGCATTTAAGAATGATAAAACTTGACGTTTGTTACATAAAACAATCAAACGTCTATTTGTCCTGTTACACAAACGTCACAGCCCGTCTAGGAGTATTACTTTATGAACCTACAGGAATAAAACTAGGGTCGTTATACTCACCAGGGTCAAGATAAACAAAAGATCCATTTTTCTGGAATTACTCATTTGGTCCCTTTATCCCTTGTTTATTCAGCAGAACTGTGATATTTCCTGGAGAAGATATTTATGTTCGCTCTCGGCTCCATTCTATCCTGAAATGGAAGGATGCCCGTTACTTTAGAGACGCACTTAAAACAAATGCTTCCTAAAATCGTACATAGACCGAAGCTTAATCTCGCATTATTATTAGTGGCATAAAAAGAGAAAAACATTCGGAATTGTACATTCCTTTATTGCCATAAGCAAATCTCAGCAAAATAAAACTAAAAGAATAATGAAACAAGAAAAGGATGGAGAACTATCTCCATTTCTAACAGATATTTTGTACAAATTCAGTTGAACAAATAATACACATTATTGTCAGCATTACTAGCTGCAAATACATTCGCGATTTAAAACACTAGTATGTATCGAATCGGACCAAGAAAAAAACAGAAAGAAAAATAGAAAGAAAATAATCTCTTAAAGTAAGATCTATTTAAAAAGATTACGATTGAAATTTGCAATTAACGTAAAACTGTGGTATTACATTTGGTATTTACAAATATCTTTCTAGACTTCCTCAAATCTAAAACCTTCTAAATGTTAATAGTTACTACCGTTCTCGTAGATTATGGATTCAACGTGGTAAATGAGACTAATGGTGTTCGAGCTGGATCGCAAACAAATCTCTCGATTTCGTAACTGTCTGATCAGTGCACACTTTCTGCGTCCCAAGACGATTGTTATATGACTCCCGCGCGATATGTCCTACGTTGCGAGAATTTTCAATTGTCAGGGATTCAGAAGGTTACAACTAAAAATTTCAGATGAAATATTCTTTTCTTTTTCTGAACACTGAGGTAGATATGGAGAGATTTGTATACTCTGGTAGAACACTTGAGATCAATAAATATAAATGAATATTTACGATAATAATCGGTTAATTCCGTTTGACAGTTGTCCGATCTAAAATCTGCAGATGCATTTTTAGATGACACTGCTATAACTTGAAATTCACAACAGATCTACACAGAACTGAAACCTTTGAATTAAGGATCATTCTCTACCTCAATGTTAGACCTGTATTAGTAACTTCAGAAGTATTATTCTTTAAAGTAGGGGATGACATTACAAACTGTGATTACTTCGCTCTAACTGTTAGGTTTAGGTTTTATTTCTCATTTCATAATGAGCATATGGACATATGTTAATCCTAGCCTTGGTAAAATTTAGAAAAGTGGCAGAATAATTAGCATTCTCAAGTAGTTTTGTTCATATTATAATGTAGGTGAGCACAGCTTTAATAAATTAATGAAACTTCCTAATTAAATATGAACCAACAATACTTTTTGAAAAAGAAACAGCACGACATTTCACGGAGCTTTTGTCTTTTTTTCTTTTAATCTTTAGCCGAAAGGTGGTGATTTTGGTCTAGCAAGCCTACGATCTAACATTATTAGGTATATCTATAGTGACTAAATAAGTACCATTTTAATTTTTTTTTTAAATGTCTGGGAATCACGTTCCCGAAAAGAAATGATAAATTTTCCAGACATCAAAATATAGCTATCTATCCAATGCAGGTGGCTTTGCGTGGACTTTCGAAAATAGACCGTGCTACTTTATTTTGAACTGTCATACCCATGTGTGATATGTATTACAAAAAGGGTCTACAATATTGAGAAATCCTCTCTCCCTATCGTTGTTTTTAGATGACATATACGGTTACCGTGGGAGGCTTTTTAATAAGTAAGGGCCCTGAATAAAAGCTAATGTAGCCGTCGCTCTTCCTGAAAGTATCGAATTGTATCTCTGAGAGTAGTTGTTCGTTTAGTCGTAAAATTTTATACGCTCTCACTTTTACTTTACTTTTACGACTCTGTTTGAAATAAATTACCAGGGGAGTCTCAATTGTTTACCTAGTAATAAAAGCATCCAAGATCGATTTTTACCTGTGGGGTCAAATGCGTTCACACCTTCTTAGGTAAAGATACATAGAGCACTTATTCATACACGTGTCCAACACCCATTCAACCTATATACGTGAACTTTTGCTACAATTGCTTCTGAATACGACGTTATAACCGGACTTTAGTGTACTAACAGTCTTATAAAATTAGACGAAGCTTCTTCAACAATATGCATACCACTATTCTTACATTTTTGTATTCACTCGCAGCAATTCATTCAGGAAAAATTACACCCTTCACCAGCACTTCTCCCCCTATTGAATATGTCTACATTTATGTAACCCTTCTTTGCTGATGCGTACGTAATCATTTCGACGTATTCGCACTAATGGATTCTCGATAAGTGCCATGGGCAGTGATATTTGAAAATCATCAAACATATTACCTGTAACAGGGATACGCTACCAAAGTATTGATTGAAATACGAAGGATGGAATTTATTTTAATCAAACGTTAATCCTGAATATTCAAAATTGATTTTAATCAATTGGTACCTACTCAATTTGTTAAATTTATCTAAATATAACTGTTGATGAGGATATAATAGATAACATGTAATCTAAAGTACATAAAGTACATATAAATGCAAAGTTTTTTTTTTAAATGGTACCTAAAGACTACACACTTACATATAATTATTAAAAAAATATGCTGCTGATTAGATAAACTGATAACAGGTGATGTGATGGTCCTGTTGGAATTACTGGAAGATGGATGAACGTGGATGGCCATGAAGAAAGAAAAGATCCATCAGAAAGTGGCAAGATTTAAATAACTGGAAAAATCAATAGGAAACAATTTATCCAAAAATATCGAGAATCAATAAAATGAACAAAACCAAGAAGGAATTACTAGACGATGATCCATCCTGAAGACCGAAGTCTGACGATGTTAAGCATTAGGAATTGTCAAAAAATTGGAATTACTGAAAGAAAAAATATTGGAACCCTAAAGGGCAAAGAAAGGTAGTTATGAGTATTCCTTCAGAATGAAAAAGGAGAGCTATTTTCTTCGGAATTGTCTACGGAATGAAACCTGAAAGATTAACCAACTAGTTAGGGAAATTCTTTGAGAAAAGGAAGTCAGCTGAAATCAGGAAGTGAAAAAAGATCTGGAAGAAAAAAGTCAGTGATAGATATAAAATCAAGAATACCCAGAGTTCGAACTCCGAATCCAATTATTATAGACGAAATAAAGAAAGAAAATACAGAGTGAGAATAAGGGAATACTGGACGAATATCAATACATACCTGCTTGAACTAAAGTCCGACTTTTACGAAATTTCCTTCATACTTTATGTTTCCTTTGCCGAAAAGGTAGTGGATGATGCAACATAATATACATAACTAGTACGTAAGCCGTTAAAAAGTTATAGATTGAAGCCAAGAAGTTTTCAACAGAACTTTGCATCTGTTACGTTAAAAGCGATTGCTGTTGCAAAATGTTGTATTCGAAAATCCATTGCATACAACTAACTTTCTGCTGTGAAAGTGCATCACTTCTTTTACAAAGTTCAACATCGACATACTAGGGTCAATTGAAAAGTCCCCGGCCTGACACATAGATGGCGGCACCTGAACTAAATCCATATGATTTTCAGTTAGTCCTAACCTTCAAAAGACGAGTCTATAAATTTGACGGCTGTCGGATCATTAATTAGTGAATTATAGCATTTTTAGTGAAGCAACTTTTGTTATTGTGAAAAAAATGGATAAAAAGGAATTTCGCGTGTTGATAAAATATTGATTTTTGAAGGGAAAAAATACAGTTGAAGCAAAAACTTGGCTTGATAACGAATTTCCGGACACTGCCCCAGGAAAATCAACCATCAAGGATTGGTATGCTAAGTTTAGACGTGGTGAAATGAGCACCGAAGACGGTGAACGCAGTGAACGCCCAAAAGAGGCTGTTACGGACGAAAACATTAAAAAAATCCACAAAATGATTTTAAATGACCGTAAATTGAAATTGAATGAAATAGCAGACACTCTACAGATATCAACGGAACGCATCCATCACATCATTCACGAATGTTTGGGTATGAGAAAGCTCTGTGCAAAGTGGGTGCCGCGCGAGCTCACTTTTGACCAAAAACAACGACGAGTTGATGATTCAGAGCAGTGTTTGAAGATGATCACGCGTAATAAACCCGAGTTTTTGCGTCGATATGTGACAATGGATGAAACATGGCTCCATCATTTCACTCCGAAGTCCAATCGACAGTCATCGGAGTGGACTGCACACAATGAACCCGCTCCAAAGCGTGCAAAAACGCAACAGTCGGCTGGCAAGGTTATGGCGTCTGTATTTTGGGATGCGCGTGGAATAATTTTCATTGACTATCTTGAAAAAGGAAGGACCATCAACAGCGACTATTACATAGCGTTATTGGACCGTTTGAAGGACGAAATCGCCGAGAAACGACCGCATTTGCAGAAAAAGAAAGTCCTGCTTCACCAAGACAATGCACCGTCTCACAAGTCAGTGAAAACGATGGCAAAAATTCATGAATTGGGCTTCGAATTGCTTCCGCATCCACCGTATTTTCCAGATCTGGCCCCCAGCGACTACTTCCTGTTCTCAGATCTCAAAAGAATGCTCGTTGGGAAAAAATGTTCGTCGAATGAAGAGGTGATCGCCGAAACTGAGGCCTATTTTGAAGCAAAGGACAAATCGTACTACAAAAATGGTATCGAAAAGTTGGAGGATCGCTATAATCAGTGTATCACCCTTGAAGGGAATTATGTTGAATAAAGAAACGAATTTTGCAAAAAAAATGTGTTTTACTATTTTAGGCCGGGGACTTTTCAATTGACCTGTTATATCTGCATGTATTTATTTTTTGCATAAATTTCAATGGATAACGGATCTCAATTTAGACATTTTTTTTTTCAAAATGATTTCAAGTTTCTTAATAAACACAATTAAATTAGTAATATCAACTAAAATACCTATTTCTGCTGGGATTTTATTTCTACAAATCCAGGTTCAAATTGTAACCATGACCAAATTCAGAAAAAGAATTACGTCAATAAAAACACAAATCAATGAGTAAGTTTTCTGTTGTCTTAATTTAATCGACATTCCTTTATCCCTTATAGGGAATAAATTCTTCTCTCCAACAGTCTGTGGCTGATAAT